TTTAGAACTTTTTTTTCTGCAACGTTCCGAACAACTAGTTTTTTTACTACATTTTAAAAATTTATTTTTATGATTTGGAGTCACAAAAAGTGTGAAAAATATTCTTTTGTTGATTTACAGAAATTTTATTTTCGGAAAAGTTGATTCATTAAATTTAGATCAAGAATCTATTTAAAATGTTTGATGACTTTCTGTAAACGGTTTCAGAAAAATTTCTTAAAGGGAGTATAATACATGTGCCACATATTTTTTTTAAAAAAATGATACGATTATAAAACTTGCTAAATTTTTAACTAACTAAAAAAAAACTAAAATTTTTAAAACTTGCTTATTTCTTCAAAATAAAAAAAAATATAGCAAAACTGAATGTTTTTAAGATTTATTATAATAATTTAAGCTATCAAGAATTCAATTTGGCAACACATCAACACGAGAAAGGGGGACTGAAAAAGCTAAAGTTTTAAACCTTAGGTGAATTAACCCAAAATTCAATACATCAGTTTAATTTGAAATAAAAAAATTTCATGATTTCTCATAAAATACCTTTTTACAGTTCTAAAACTGACAAGGGCTTACAGTCAAATAAAAAACTGACGCTTTATTATTTTAAAACTAATATTTAATTGAAAAAAGAAGAAAAATTTTAATTTGTCATACGTTTTTGAACTTCCTCCCGCCTTTAAAAACCCATTACTTATGAAATATTGAAAGATATTACACAGATAATCACAATCACATGCAAACTTTTTGTTATACTAGAACAAAATATTATTTAAAATTCAACTTTCAACAATTCCCTAACAGATATCTCCATCTTCAACACACTGAGAGAGAGAATTTGAAACGAACAACACTCTGAGAAAAGTTATTTGAAGCAAAACTTAAATCTGGGTGTGTGTGGAAAAAATTAAAAAGGAAAAATTAAAATACTTAAATTAATATTTAACTGTTAGTAATTTAAATAATTATTTCCTAATATTAAAACTTTTTTGTTAGTAAAAAATTCTGTAATAGTAGATTAACTTCAATTTTTTAAGAAACAGTTATAATTGCATTCTAAATATTTGTCAAACATATCAGTTTATATTAAGTGCAAGATAGTTTTTCTCCAGTTATAATATTAACTTAAATCAGTGGCTCAACAGCCCTTGAGAGCCAAGGCCTACTGTGCCTATCTCAGTATATGTGACCTTGGGCCCAGAGGTGTATGAGCAAATGTTTCGGTCAGGTGGTCAGTCTGCTGCGAAACCCCCAGTGTTAAGTTCCCAAGCAAGCTTAGTACCCATATATTGACTCACTGAAGGAATGAAAAGCTGAGTCGACCATGCCCAGCGCGAGATTTAAACCTCGGATCTGTGGTGTGGAAGCGTGATGCACTACCACTCATCCATTAGGCTTCCAGTTATAATATTATCCAAAATATAACACTCACACAGTCACTTTTAACAAAGCATATTTCATTGAGTTGCGTTCGGAACCGTGATTTTGCAAAAGCACATAAATGGATAATTTTCATATTTAGTGTCACTTAAATTAGAGTACATGTATAATATAGTTTTAAGGACATTGTGACAAAAAAATTTATTTAAATACAATATTTTGGCAAAAAATTAACTTAGAATAATCTTTTTTTCAAAATGTTCTCCTTTTATGAAAAATGCTTCTGTTTTAGTAATATTTTGCCCGTATATAGTTCAAACCTCTCTACAGAGACTCAATTAGAATTTTTAAAATATATAACTTAGAAGTGGGTTTATCCATATTTTACGACAACAGAGGGGATCAATTTTAAGGAAAAAAACGCCAATACTTATTTCAATTGGTGGTAATTCTGAAAATAATGTGAATTTTTCAAAAATTCTTGTTGAGCCTCTGTAGAGAGAACTGAGGCAAAATATTATTATAATAGAAAAATATATTATTAAAAGGCAAAATATTATTATAATAGAAGCATTTTTCACAAACGCAGAACATTTGAAAAAAGATTATTATAAGTTAATTTTTTGCCAAAATATTGTATTTAAATAATTTTTTTTGTTAAAATGTCCTTAAAACAACTTTATGCATGTATTCTAATCTGAGTGACACTAAATATCATGAAAATTATCTATTTATGCGCTTTTTAAAATCACGGTTCCGAACGTAGTCGGATACCGTAAGTGTGCATAGCAGAAGGGGAAAATGCACACAACAGAAAATGAAAACTAAATGGTTTGGCAACAAGTATGAATACTGAAAAAATTTACGTAAAAAACTCGGGAAAAATAGTAAATAATTATTATAGATCTATTTATAATACTACAGAAAAGTTTGGTGTTAGCAACGACACAGGTCATCGATACCTTTGATATCCAAGGTCATTAACACAAGTTAAAAGGATATCCCGATATTTTAGCAGTGTTTTTCATTTTTGAAAATGCATAGTATTTGAATTCAATTCATATGGTATGCCATTTAATATTTAAGAAATTTTAAACGAAGAGTGTGGAATTCGTTGGTTATTTGGAATTTACAGTACAGAATTCAAATGGAATATATTGCGGGATATAACACATGGTTGTAAATTCCACATTTTGCTAAGTAAAACAATTTTATAATTCTAACTCTGAATAAAGCATAAAAAAACGTTGTTTGCTAGAACATTAAGGATAAGAAAAGATAAACATACATAAAAAATGAATATTTGAGAATTTTCTCCAACCAAGTCAGTTAAGGTTAAAGTACATGATTTATCTAAAATTTAAAACGGTAAAAATTGGTACATTCAGTCAAGATATATGTAAAGATGACTTTTTTTGTTGCATCTGTTGAATATTTCAATTTATTTTAACTCTTTATTAAACTAAAACAAATAAAGAGACAAAACGAATCACAACACAAAAGCGCAGAGGCAAAAGCGTCATTTGTTAATTCCCGAGATCTCAGATTTTATAGCTTCTTCAACCGGAAGCTAAGAGAATCATATGATTTCAGTTTTTGAATACCATAAATGGTCAGAGTTGTTGGATGGTGCAGTATTGTATCATCTTATTTTGAAATGTGCCGACGTGGCTATTTTTGTAGAGATAAAGTTTTGGATAAAAGGATATTTCCCATTAGGCGGGTAAACCATTTTAGTTATCATGCCATGTCTTGGAGAGCTTAAGACCATTATGAATTAGAACAAAATCCCTCGACGGAAAGTTTAAAAAGTGAATTATTACATGTATCTTACAGTCTTTAAGCAAATATAATGAAAAATAGTCAGAATCAAGATGTAAATAAGGTACAATGTTACATTCCAAGGTTTATATTTACAAGTGTTACTTTTTTATTTCATATTTTGCATCAAAAATGAAAAAAGTATGTGATTTATTTATTGTCGGTTCCACAATTTTTAAAAATGGAGCCTTAGTAGCTTAATGATAAAATCAATAACTTCCTTGGTGATGGCTCATTTTACACGACTTCATTTCAATCATTTTACTTATGCAAAGTAACCTTTAAGTGCAAATTAGGCTTAAAAAACTGAAACAAAATCTAAAAAAAGGCCATAATAAATCTTACCGTGAGTTAAATATGGTTATTTAAAGTACTAATTTTTAAAAAGTTCGAATTTTAGAATAACGAATAGTTCGAATTTAGAGAAATTGGCAGCAATTATAATGTAAATTTAATACGGAATTTACTTCAATAATTAAAGTATTAAATTGGTGTATATGAAAGTCGGATTTTTTTACGTGTGAGCGTTTATCTCCCTATTTGCGTTATGCCTTTGTTTTTGCCATAATTTCGTTTATAATCGCATTGTGCAATACCACAGTCACATTTTAACAAACAAGATTTTCACAAAAGTATTCCATTTTGTTTTTTGTTTTGAATTTCGAAAGGATATGAATTCAAAACGATATTCATGTAATTTTTACAGGATTATAAACTTGGCAATAATGCTGCAAAAGCTTCCCGCAGTAAAAACCAGACATTGGAGAAAATACTGTTAACGATTGAAAAGTACAGCGTTGGTTTGAAAAATTTCGCTTAGGTGATTTTTCTCTTTATAATGAACCACATGGAAGATCCAAAACATCTGTGAAAAATGATGCTCTGAAAGCAATCCAACTGTATCTATTATGATGTCAGTACATAGACAAAATGCATGAGATACTGAAAATTGTACACTCATCACATGTTAATCGGCATGGCCCAATACTTCTCCATGACAACGCTCATGCACACATACGTCATAAAAAAACAATTACGAAAATAAATGAATTAAAATAAGAAATTTTGCAGAATCCAGCTTATTCATTGGCTTTTTCGACAAACGACTTTCATTTTTTGAAACATTTAGACTGATTTTTAAGGGCTATACAGTACCAAAAAGTAGAAACAGTCTTAAAAATTCCATGTTAGAATTTCCTGACATTATTGAATTTATTACAGAACTGTCCATTAAAATCTCGTCGGGACAGGAGTATTGAAGCAAACGGAGTCTATTTAATGAATGTATGAAAATTTACAGTTTTATATAATCAGTCAAAAATCCCACATTTTTCATACACTCTAACCTAATAAAAATGAATTGTACATCCGATATAATTCACCAGAACGATTAAAAAATATGCTAGTGCGATATATTTTGTCTGAAAATTTAAAATACCATTTTTAAACACTTAGAGACGTGATTTTATAAAATTCTTCATTTCCTACTATTATATTTCACACTCTCCCTATATAGTGTGAGCTATAATAGTAGGAAATGAATGCTTATATATATATATATATATATATATATATATATATATATATATATCTTGTTCAAATTTTCAATCGTCAATAAAATACTATTTATTCATTCACTCAATTTCAAATACATTTTTTAAACTTGTAGTGGATGACACTTGATGTTACTATAGTTTTTTTCAAATATTAATTTATTAATTAAATCAAAAAATGAATAAATAATAACAAACAAAAATATTAGTCCAATACCATATATAAAAAGGAAAATTGCTCATTGTATCCCGGTAGCGCAATGATAACGCATTAGTCTTTCAATCCAAGGGTCGTGGGTTTCAATCCTACCTGGGATGATGTAATTTCTGAGAATGTGATATATGAATGGATAAATAGTAACAAACACCATGTAACAAAATGGGAAAATCGCTTTCTATTTAGTCATTTGATATTGTGATTCTGTCATATGTATATACATATTTATATTAAATGTAATTATTTAATAAAAAAGTAACTAAAATTAAATTTTTCTTTCTTGACCTAAGTAGGAATTGACTTAAATTTGTTTTTTTATATTACCTGTTTATTAAATAAGATACAGATTTAGTAACACCTTTTGAAAATCGTTGCCATCACAACCCTCTAAAAAATAAAAGATACCTCCCACAGTCGAAGTCTGAGGCGAGGAAAATTCGTTTACTATTTCCTTCTTTATACCAGGAAATTTCAAAAGGGAAAGACTGGAGGCTGGTTAGGCGGAAGGTTGGTCATCCTCCCCAAAAAGGAAGGCAGGGGAGGCAGCGTTAATGGAAAGCCCCTTTTTGTTCCTGTAGTTTTAGGGTGGCCAGTCAATTTGTGGTCTGATGAGATCTTGTAGGGGGGCAACACCTGGACTCTTTCTCAGCGCCCGGGCATTCCTTGAAACTTGATCTTTGTTGATTTCGATTTCTGAAACTGTTTATTGTGGAGGACCGTTTGCGTGATGCCAGATTCATTTTCTTCTTCTTTTTTATTTATTTATTTTTTCCTCGGCTGACCCTCACCTCTCTTGCCTGCTTCTTCGTATTTACCTTCAGTTTTCGGGGGCCAAAGAGAAAGAGAGAGAGAGAGAGAGAGAAAAGAATTTTTTCTGCGTTTGTTCATAGTTTGGGGCATCCGCCGCCACACTGTTTGTTTGTTCGTGGACTCAGTGTGAATGAGGGCGAATGGATTTATTGGGGTGAAAATCTGTAAACTCAATTCTTTCCTCTTTTTTGTGTGTGTGTGTGGCTGTGCGGCCACTGTGTTGCCGTGATTTTTAGTTTCTACAAAAAAAGGGGAAGGAATAGGGGGAGACTTTTGTTTTTTCCCTTTTCTTTTTCTTTTGTTTTTCACAGACGCAATTTCACTTTGTCTTTTTCGCTCCATGTATGTAGTTCCAGAAAGATACCGGGCCCTTTTTCCTTTTAAGAAGGTACGAAAGGGTCTTTTCTGGGAATGGAGAGAGTGTTGCGAGTTCATTTGGCTGATTTGGAGTATTTGTTCCGATGCCGTGGTCGGAAATCGAAAACCATTGAGGCAAAAACAAGAAGTACCGGATTAAATCTTTGACGTAGATTCGAACCTCTTGAAGGAACTCTCTTAACCTTACATCATGACATATCATGGATAATTACATAAAAATCTGAACCAGTATTACTCTAATACAGCGTTTCTCAAACTGAGGGGCGTTATAACTCAACGAGGGGGGCGCGAGCATATTGAAAAGTTGAAAACAAAAGGTTATTTAAAAAAATATTAATTTACTGAAAGTATAAAGAAACAAAATACTTTGTGATATAATCAAATATAAAATACACATTTACATTGATATAATACACTTATAAATGTATCAGCACTGTACAAAGTATATTTTATTATTAATTTATCAATACTAAGTTAAGAACAAATTTGATAATTATCAGTGACCCCCCAAGGGATTATATCATCTTGATAATTTTCTCGATTTATACTTAATTCCTTAACTGTCGATTTAAAGTTACGCGATTCGCTTCCTAATGCCACCGTTTTCCACGTAGATGAGCGTATTTTGATGTTTTTTAGCGGATGGGGGAGAAGAGAAAAGGAATAAATAAGCAAATCCTCTGAAATAAGTAAATCCTTCGCAAACACTGTCAAGGTCTTTTTACTGCATTCCAAAGCCTTCGGAATAATTTTATGAATAGCCCTGCACAGAAAAGATCTTACTTCGGAAAGACGTATATATACGTCCAGAAAATTAATGCTTTGGCTGAGCGAGACGTTTATATACGTCGGGGGCACATAAGAGGTTAAAGTCGTATTGTAGCTTTAATATCAAAGCATAGTATTATTGAATTCAATACATTGTTATTGTATATAGGGGGGGCGATGAAAACAATGATTGAATAGTGGGTCACGTATATTAAAAGTTTGAGAAGCACTGCTTTATTACAGTATTTCTCAAACAAGGTATCACGACTCAAGATAAAGGAAAAATCACACACCAGTAGCGTAACGTACACCACCGCAATCCCCGCATCGCAGGGGGGACCAGGGTTCTAGGGGGCCCAAAGCCTGGCTGCCACCAAGTGCCTCTTTTGTAAACTCTAACTTGGGGGCCCCAAACCTGACTTTGCTGGGGCCCCAAATGTTCTCCGTTACGCCTTTGGCACACAGCACTTTTTGTCGACCAATGTAAGTTCAGTATTTATATACCTTCAACAACAGTCAAATCAAATCATGTCACTTCAGGGTGGTACATGACCTTTTTTGTGGTGCTTATATTCTAACAAAGAAACGTAGACGTTTAATTTCTAAGCTAAAAATAAAAATGTGTTGGTCAATACCGGGGAGGACAACCCGTGGCACGATTGAGTTGTAAGAGTGACACGCGAAGACTTATCGAAACATTAAGAGGGATAAAAATAAATACTGATTTGTTTGCTGTTTTATAGAAAGGTGTTTGCCTCAGACAAGAGAAAACTTCTAAATTTATTTTAAGTACACTTAATTAAATTACAATAGAAAATTATAATGTAGACAACACTCCTTCATTGTTGTGTGCGTTGGTTTTTCAAAGGAAGGGCATTCGTGAGATTCTGGAATCTGGAATTTGAGAGAGAGTGTTTTAAAATATTTGGAATAAAACAATGAACTGCCCAGTGCAGTGCTTCTCAAAGTTTCGTTACCTGCGACCCAATTTTCAGTCATAATTTTCTTCGCGCACCCCCTCTCCCATCCAAACAATAACGATGTATTGAGTTCAATAATAATAATGTACTTCGACGTAAATCTACAATAGGAATTTAATTACAAACCGTACAAATGATCAAGATCAGTATAACATTTTTTATATAATTTTATCTATGACAAGTCCATGGAGTCACTGGTAATTATTAAGCTTGTTCTTAGCTTGGTATTGTTATATTAATGATCAAATACCGTGTGTGCAGTACTGATGCATTTATAAATATATTATATTGGTGTAAATGCCTATTTTATTATGTCAGAATGTATTTTGCTTTGTCTCATTTCAATAAATTAATACTTTCAAATAATGGTTTATTTTCGACGTTTCGATACGCTCGCGCCTCCTCGTTGATTTATTACCCCCCCACAGGGGGCGCGCCTTACAGTTTGAGATACTCTGGTCTAGTGAGTGCTTGCTTCTCAAGAATGAAGTTAGACTTTGAGATTCAGCTTTTCTTACCGATATCTTCTCTTGTGATCACACTTTTGTTGATGTGTAACATCTTTCCTCTCGGTTGCTGGATATTTGTTGGGAGTGATTTCGTGAAAAGGGACGGATGTGTGTAACAGGATGCGACGTAAGCGCGCGCTACTTGATTTGACCAATGAGAGTGCGTGGCTGTGTCTTTTCACTACCCTCGCATGGGGGTCCAACTCTAGTAGACATCAAGCACTCAACGCTTGACTCGAAATCCGTTAGTCACGATATTGGGGGACATAAGTGCGGCAAAATGCTTATTTGAAAATGGACCAACAGTGATTTCGGTGGTCGCATACATTTCTTCGAATCAAACGGTTAAAAAAATTAAAGATTTCCTGCATTTTGCACTTTTACCATATAACGAAGGTGGTTCTGCTCTTTTAAAAAAATTATCTCACGCTTCCCCTGATTTTGAGCGGTGATTTTAACTTTAACTTCAGTTTGCCAAAAGCTGAGCTGCTCATAGCTTTTATGAATGATGAACTCAAGCTCGAAATGAACACAAAAATTAGAATGTTTCGATTGCTAACAGTGGTACTGTTATTGACGCTATTTTTCAACGGTTTTTAAGTACTTTGAAATCACAAGTATATGTGTCATATTTTAGTTATCATAAGTCTATTGTCTCCACTATTCCCAAAATTAAACAAGAATAATTATTTTTGATAAAATATTGCATTTAACTCTTTTTGTTAATTAAATACAACTTTGATTAAATATATAGTTATTCGATAGAAAATTATTTCCAATCTCATGCCCGATTCATATTTTTTTTCAGGAAAAAAGTTAATATTGTGTATTTACCACGACAACATGTCAGATGTTACACATTATATGCGACTACTGTAAGACTCGTTTCTTTTTTTTTTTGTCTCGATTCCGGAGAAAAAGAAGAATCTGATGCACACTTAGAAAATCCCGATTTTGTTAGCACCTTAAAGAACTAATCCTAATGTAGATGACTCAGTAAAAAAATCTTTTAAAAACCACATTAAATAAATTACAGTTAAAAAAAACTAAAAAACACCCTTTTTTCAGTTAATCCAATTAAATTAAAACTTAATCTTTTAGTCGCCAAATCTGGAATTTGGCAGCAGAAGCGGGATGGGATCTAAAAATGGAAAACCGTTAGTCCTGATGATCCTGATCAGGACTATGGAACAAAATTATTAAATTACTATATTGTCATCAGTCCTTTTCAAGTGAGCTAAATTTCAAATTAATCTGACCTTTTAAAGTTGGTAAAAATTGAGTTTAAAGATTTCGTTACATACAAGTGAAGCTTATAAAAGGGTGTTATAAAGTACTGACTGTTTAATAATCATTTAGAATTAAATTATTCTAGGAACTTATTTTTATTTTATTCCAAAATAAACTGATTGAAACTGAGAAAAATAAATTTTTAACAATAAAACTTAAGTTCGTATTTTTGTTTTATTATTATATTACTTTTAAATTTTCTCTACTTAGACTTGCACAGATATGTGAAATTTTCGTATTCCATAATAAGCCTACAAGTAACATTTTTTCTCATTTTCATTTCTTTGTTGGAAAAGTTAAAAGTGGCACTCTTCCCAAAAAGGTTGGCCACCCCTGGTCTACAGGAAAGGGAAGGGGGGGGATGTG